GCCTGTGTAGCCCCCTTGCCTGCTACCAAAACCCCGCCAGACACCAACCCAACACACCACAGAAGAAGGAAGGGGACAGGTACCAATGGGAGAACATATTTCAGCAGAATGTCCTCTTTACTTCTAACCTCGCTTGAATTCTCAAGAGAGACTTAATAAAATCTGCTCAAAAGATTATCCTTAAAATTCATAATTCCCTTTAAATAGTAAGCATGAACCTCATAGATCTTTCTAGTTTTACTATGTGTTGAAATTCTTTGTTGCTTCCCCCAGCACTTCCTCCCTCCCAAGTTTATGCTTAATAAATTATCTTCTGTGTGTTTCACTGTTCTAAAGGAGAGGCAGTTGCATTGCCCACACTCCTTTGCTCTACCAGTGCCAGCTACTGGGTTTTTTTGTTTGGTTGGGTTTTTTTTTGTTTTGTTTTAATTCTGTCAATAAACCAAGAGTAACCATGGCTAGTTTTGAAGTCTTCACTTACAGATTTGAACTTGGAGAAGGGCTTTTGTAAAAAAGATTTTACAGTTTTTCCAGTTATATTAGTTAGCCTGAAAGAAGGTACGGCTTTTTGTAACCTTGTTTCTTTGTATGTTGGAATCACTTTGGCTAATACATTCTTACTGTATTCCTTCTGAATTAAATATTTGTTACGAAACTACTGTGCATTACATTTAGGATGACTCCACGTGCCATGCCTTTATGTTGTTAATGTCTCGTGAAGTTGCTGCCCTATTCAGATTGATGTATCTACATCCATACGTAAACTAATTTGGCTGTGGTGGGTATTCTGTGTTTAAAGGCATGTCACAAAACTACTCTTCACTGTCTGTAACTAATAAGCAATCAGTTCCCCAAGCCAGTACAAAATTTAATAGATTGTCTAGCGTTGTTTCCATAATTGCTTGACTAACTGATGCATCCCTACTCAGAATCACAACTTGCGTAGCTGTCTGCAGACATTGTGAAAATTATGCGTCTAATTACCATAAACCATTTTAAAACCAATTTTAATAAAGTAGTAATTCTATGATTTGATTTGAAGCTGTCTTCAGATTTATTTTTATGTAGTGATGTTACTCCTCGTTCGTGTTTTAGCATTTCTGCTTTAGAAAAGATGAGTTTTCTCTCCCAAGACAAAATGTGCTTTCAGTTGATGGTGATGTTTATTGCAGTAAACAAGTGTCACACATGTAGATTTTTTGCAGTTTTGCATAACAAAATAATTTCGAGCATTGGGAGAAAAATTCTAAAACCTTGTAACCGTCTGCTTAGAAACTTGTCTTTGGTAAAGTAGATGTTTTCACTTGATAAACCTGCTGTAATTTAGGAGTGAGGGAAGATGATTTTTTGAAAAAAGTCTTCTTTCTATAGCTTGACGGAGATGAATCACTCTCTGTCCTAGCTAATACTGCCTAGTGCCTGACTTCGTCTTTGCTTCCCCCTCCTTTTCCAGATCCTGGAGTCTCTGTGGATAGTGATGAGTCGCAATGTGAGCCTCTTGTTTACTACAGTTACAACATTGGTGACAATCCTCTTCCACAGCGGGACAGCTCTTCTCAATTTTGTGCTTTCAGTGGTAAGTAGTATGTCGTCGGTTTACATGGTCTGTTTTACTGAAGGAACCTCATTGTACATGTTGTAACAATGTAGAATGAAACCTAAAGCATTGAAAACATCGTAGAATCACAGAATGTATTGGGTTGGAAGGGACCTCTAAAGGTCATCTAGTCCAACCCCCTACAGTAAGCAGGGACATCTCTAACTAGGTCAGGTTGCTCAGAGCCCCATCAAGCCTGACCTTGAATGCCTCCAGGGATGGGGCTTCAACTGCCTCTCTGGGCAACCTGTTCCAGTGATCCACCACCCTCATACTGAAGAACTTCTTCCTAATGTCCAACCTAAATCTAGCACTTTCTAGCTTGAAGCCATTACCCCTCGTCCAATCCTCTAACCTTATGTAATACAAAAATTCTGGTAAGATTTTGTAACTTTCAGATCTGTTCTTTGGGTGGCATTCTAGGCAAAAGGAAAGATTTGTGTAACTTCCACATTGAGGAGCTGGCAGTCTTCCTATCATTCTGTTTATGAAATTTTTTTTTCTGGTGTTGAAGATACTGAGCAGTCACTTGTGATATCCTACATAACTACTGAAATCTTACGGCATGTCCTCATAAACGTATCCTTAAACAAGCCAATGCCTTCAGAAGAGGGGAAAAATTGTTACAGGGAAAGGTCAGCAAAAGTATTTATTTCACAAGGATTACCTTATATTCCCTTTTTAAATGAAATGTCTTCAGCATAAAAAATCTATGTGAGGGGGTTGTGTTGTTTCTATTTAACCTCTGTGGGCTCTTAATTGCAGAATGCTTCCTACACAGAGTAAATTCTTACTAGTGTTATTGCCCGCACTGAGTAGTAGTCTCTGAAACCTTTTTATTAAAGGTGTTTTCTTCAAAGGATGTATTACTTTTTCCTGTATTATCTGAGCTAGGTGTTTATGGTTTCTTCTGTTTCTAAACGCCAAGCTGTGTGGGGTAACTTGTAATGGTTGAGGTACCTTCTTTCTTCTCATTTGCTTTGCTGTGACAGCTGTTACTTAAAAGTAAAACCTCCTAAAATACTGACCTGGGACTTTTTCCTCTCTTAACTGACAAATAGTGATTGTGGAAGCTCGACTGAAATCCATGTCCTGGTTTTTAGTTTTGTTAGAAAACAAAGTGTTTTGCTAGTTTAACTTCATTGATGCTTGCTCAGGAGGGAGGTCTTTGTAGACAAGCTGCAAAATTGAAATAATGTTTAACAGCACTTCAAGGCAGCTGTAGTTTAAGAAAGAACAGATCACAGTAAGACTTAGTGGAATGGCTGTCTTGAACTGAAGAAAATCACTGCCACTTAATTTTGTTGTTCTCCAGTTACCTTTCAGTTAGTAAGGAAAAGATCACATGGGAATATTTCCTTTTTTTTTCCTTAGTCCACAACTTCACCCCTGATGACACATGGAAAATTATGTCTGAGAAGTTAGTATACTTAAAAATGACAAGTTTGGATAGTAATTGCAGATGATTAATGCACTCCTTGCTCAGACACAAAATTTAGCTGTAGATGCCTAATGGCTTGTACCAAGCTTATTACATCCTGTTGCTGTGATGCATGATCCTGCCTTTTTGTCTGTCAGCAGGGTCTTGCCACTTGCTGGGGCACTGTGCAGTAGCTGGTTTAGCAGAGCTAGTTCGGATAATGCTGTGTTGGAATTCTTTTAAAGATTAGATGCCCTAAAGGCTACTCTGTTTCCTCCGCTTGTGTTGTAGGTTGAACATGTTACTTAAAAATGGTCATATAAAGCTTTCCTCACCAAAACACATCAGTCCTGCATTCATGATTTCTTGGGTTTGACCATGAGCTTCCATTTTGCACTCCTAGTTATCCTAGATATATAGGAAAGATTTGCTTTAATAAATGTGTCGGTTCTTTCTGTAGATTCTCAATAATGGTAGCCTTTGAAATACAAACAGTGGGACTGATAAATTAGAAATATCATGGTGCTATAACTTAGTCTTGTTTGCACCTTCCATTTCATAGGCCATTGTGTCTGTTCCGAGGCATGGTTTCTCATCTTTACGAAGGTCTTTTGCAAAGGTTCTTGCTACAAAAACTAAACAAATTTTTTTTAAAAACACAAGAGGTAAATTAATGGAACTTGTTTTAATAGTGTTTAGTGTGGGTTTGTTAACAGCTTATGACTGAAAGGGCTTAAATTTAGGATATTCAGTAAATAGCCTGCACTGAATAAAGATTAATACAGTCCATTACTTTGGGCCATAACTAAACAAAAATGCTAGTTGTTGTGAGAATTTAGTTGAACCTTAATACCTTTTTAGGATAACAGAACTGTCGTGGAGTCCATGTAGAAATCATATAACTACTTCTTAGG